TTTCTGTATTACCTTTAGCAAAACTTTACTCACTTGAGAATGGATAATAGGACCAAAGAAAATTATACAGAGCTAGCCCAACAGTGAGTTCGTAAAAGCCAATGAACCCAGGATGCCCGGAGGTTACTTTCTTGGGCCTTCAGAGTCCCTGGCTAGCCATCCTGAGTGGGCCATCATGTAGGATTTTTGTCCATGACACAGGGCCTCAACACCTCAGTGATTGTGGTCTCCTACAGGGGTCTTTATCTTTTTCTCTGACCCTCCACCTTACCAAACATGATATCCTTCTCCAGCGACTGGTCCGTCTTTCATGACAATATGTCCGAAGTATGAGAGATAAAGTTTGGTCATTCTGGCCTCCAAGGAGTACTCTGGCTACACTTCTTCCAACAAAGATCTGTTGGTTCTTTTGGCAGCCCATATATTTTCATTAAAAACAAGAGCAGAAAAGATGCAACAAGAAATCTAAAAACAGGGCCTTTGAAACCAGTCTTATGGAGTCTATTTTTATAAAACACAAAACCTATTCTTACACGGAAACAGGATAAAGAGAAATAAGATATTAATAGCCATATATTGAAAGACTGTTTCTATTAAATATGTTTTAAATTCTAACATAGAAATAGATCCATCCATTTATCCCTTTAATAAGTTTTTACATCTATGGGTGTGGGGGCCATGGGATTCTATGGACAATGAATGTGTGGGCATGTGATAATATGTATCTATGAGTGTACCTACCTATGTATGTTGGAGTTTGGATGATTATATAAAAAATTATGAGATGTAATATGGAAGGATTTTAAAAATAAGAATTCAATACTCACAGTCTAGTCTTCCTAAGCTATTATTTTTATGATAGGAATGGTCATCAGTTAATTCTCACTCACTGTAACCCCATATGCATCTATCTATGTAGAGCTGTGAAGCACTATTTAAAAACGTTTTATTTTAAAGCGTTTTATTGTGAGTTAGATGAAGGTTTACAGAGCAAACCAGTTTTCCATTTAACAATTTTGTTTCATATCATTGATTGTAATCCCCACAATGGAATATCACTTATCAAACTTCCTCCCTGTGTCTCCTGTTTCTGTTCCTTCCTCTTTCCTAACCCTTCCTGCATTTTGAACTTTGTCCTTTCTATAGTTATATATTAGTTAGATGAAACTACCTTATATTGGAGTCTATCTTATTTAAAATATGAATCTTAGAGAAGATTTTGCCTTCTCAACAACCTTCTGAAAGGCACTCTTGACCTCTTTGTTCCTAAGACTGTAGACCAGAGGGTTCAGCATGGGGATGACTATGGCATAGAACACGGATACCATTTTGTCTGTGCCCATGGAGTGACTAGAGTTGGGCTGTAGGTACATGAAGATGCCTGTCCCATAGAAGATAGAGACAGCAGTAAGGTGGGAAGCACAGGTAGAAAAGGCCTTTCGGCGTCCTTCAGATGAATGCAACCTCAGGATAGTGGTAAATATAAACATGTAAGAAGACAAGATTATCAGGATAGAAAAGAGGACATTGAAACCTACTAGATAAAAAAGAACACTCTCACTGATGTAGCTGTCAGAGCACGAAACAACCAAAAGAGGAATGGCATCACAGAAAAAGTGGTCAATCACATTGGACCTACAGAAGGAGAGTCGGAAAGTGTTCCCAGTGTGGATAGATGCATTCAGGAAGCCACAGACATAGGAGCCCACGGCCAGATGAACACACACATCTATCGTTACAGTGGTGGTGTAATGAAGGGGTTTGCACACTGCAGCATAGCGATCGTAAGCCATTGAGGCCAAGAGAAAATTTTCCACAGTGATAAAAGCTATAAAAAAGAAGAACTGAGTGGCACAATCATTGTAGGAGATAGCCCTGTCTCCTGTGAGAAAGCCAGCCATCATCTTGGGGGTGACAGCTGAGGAATATCCAAAATCTACCAGAGAGAGATTACTGAGGAAAAAGTACATGGGAGTGTGGAGATGAGAGTCCAGCAGGATCAACATGGTCATCCCCAGGTTCCCAACCAGAGTGATGAGGTAGATGAAGAAAAAGGTTATGAAGAGCGGGAGCTGAAGTTCTGCTTTGTTGGTTAACCCCATGAGAATGAATTCAGTCACTTCTGTATCGTTCTCCATTGGGATCATTTGGGATTTCTGTGACTGCCCTGTAGCAATGAGAGGGGAAAAAAGGATCAAAACACATCAGCAGGTTCACTTTGTGTCTTATTTCAACATTGTTTTTAGAGATCTAAAGCGTAGCTATAAGAATACAATTTGATTATTGTCTATACAATAGGTTTCATAGCAAAAAGTCTTTTGTAGATAATATAACCCAGTTCCTCAACTTCATAGAAGATTTGTCCAAAGCGAAGAAATGGAAAGTGACTTATGCAAGATCAAAAGATTAGTTAGTGACCGAAGTGGTTCAGATTCGCAACTCCTGTTTTATAATATAGACACAAAATATTGCAGATATTCATTTGCTTAGAGTAGCTGATTAATGTGATTTCATTTTATTTAAACTCATAATTTTTGTGTCATTTTCATCATTTCAAGAAGAGTGCTATATGATAGCTAGTTGTTGTTAAGTGCTTGAGAGTGGATTTCAGCTCATAGTGACCCTGTACAGGTTTCTGAGAAAGAGCTGGTGGGTTTGAACCACTGAAACATTCCTAGCATAAATCATTATCACTAGATAATTGGTGCAGAGAATATATAATTTATCACACAGTGTTATAACAGTAGAAATCTGTAAACAAGGAATGAAAATATCTCTAAAAAATAATTAGAAGCATAGGTCCAGATCAGGGACTTTGGGATGCAAATTCCAGCTAAATATCTACAAAGTTGATGAAATTGAGTGGTGCTTCTAACCACGTAGCCTTCAGTTTTCTATTAATCTATTATCAATGTAGGTTGAAAAAGAAAAATTTGTTGTTGTATGCCATCAAGTTGGGTTAACTCATAGCAACCCTGTACAGGGTTTCAAGAGCACCTGACAGGTTTGAACAGGCAATCTGTGGTTACCAGTCCAGTGGTTATCCTACAGTGCCACACCACAGCTCAGGGGAGAATTCTACCACTGAATTGAAGAATGATGGTATTGCATTAATTCTTAGATATAATTTGATAGAGAGATTAGTCAATTGGGATCATAGAGATGAATGATGTAAAATATGGCTTCCAGATAAGTATGAAATCATTCTATTTGCTGTCCTCCCAAGCTCCTTCTCTTTCATATCCTTTCTATACTTTCTTTTAATTTTTCATGAAATAGTCCTGGTGTGGCACTGTAGGATAAGTACTGGACTGCAAGTTTGGTTTGAATTGCAAGGTTGGCGGTTCAGACACACCAGCTTCTCCTCAGAAACCCTATGCAGGGTCTCTATAAGTCAGAACTGACTCAACGGCATATAATAACAACATATGAGTGCTCAGTACAGCTTTCTCAATTAACATTCCAAATTATTTCCCCAGTGATCTTGAGTATTAACTAACATATATGGTGGCACTATAGAGTAAGTCCTAGTGTGGCACTACATGATGATGCACTGGACTGCAAGGTCAGTTTGAACTGCAAGGTTGGTAGCTCAAACCCACCAGCCGCTTTGGGGAAACCCTACACAGGCTCACTATAAGTTGGAATTGAGTGGAAGGCACTGAACAACAACAAAAAGAAGGTAAGCACTGGACTGAAAACTACAAGGTTGGTGATTTGAGTCACCCACTCACTCTGATGGAGAAAGATGAGTATTTCTACTCTCAAAAAGATTTACAGCCTTGAAAACCTGATACAGGGTCACTATGAGTCAGAAATGACTGGACAGCACTTAACAACAACAACAACATGTGAGCCTGAGTTTCCCCATCTCAATAATGGGGAAAAAAGAACATTGGGCACAATTATTGACATCAGTACATTTTGTAATTGGTTTCTAAGCCTTACTTCCTCCTCTTTTTTTTAAAATCATATTTTAAAATATTAGTATATAATTCAGATGATAGTATATTGTCATATTAATACCATATTTGATTTTCTCAACAAGTCTAGAATTTATTGATATAATACTACCACATTCTTTGAAGGAGAAAATCTAGATAAAAATAGTTTGAATGACTTATTCAATGGCATGTCTGTCAAAGGAGGGGTTCAAGGCCCTCTTGTGCCTTTCTTCAATGTCATATGATCAATATATATGGTCTAGTGGGATCTACAAAATGTGTCTACAATGGAACTGCAAAACCAAAACCAACCATACAAAAATGGCACCAACGCCAGCATACTCTCTACTCAGCTGGGTTTGATCATTAATTACATTGGCCACACAGAACTCAAACACCACACTCACAGTTATAGGGTTTATTAGGGACAACTAACAGTTTGCAATTCAGGGTCAGGAATTCTCAGGGCACAGTTGTTCCAGTCAAGACAGCCATTCTTTAGCCATGCCGGCAGGCAGACGTCTCTCTGCCCTGCTAATGTTAGAAAGCTCTTTTCGTGCTGCTGATAAATGACCTCAGGACTTACCAAACCCTACCTTACCGTAAGCCTCAGCTTGAATGCACTCAGCTTGAGCTTTGTGGGTCAGCAAACCTAGCTTCCCTAGTTAAGTGTCTGCAGACACCCCACTCTGCAAGCAAGTCTTCAGTCCAAACTCTCTGCCCAAACTTACTTGCTCCATGAGCTGGGGAACTCACCATTCTGTCTCATGCTCTGGCTCTAGGTTCCACTGATGCTGCTTCTGCGGAGGTTCAATGTAAATGGATCTCTAGGTCCAAAGGATCTGCTCCATCCCTACCTCTTCTTCTTTGATGGTAATGAAATACCCCATTCTTACTTCTGAGCTCCCTTAATTTAGACAATCAGAGTTTCAGGTTTTTACAATCACAATGAACGCTGTAAACTACTCACAACTGAATCATATAATCCTCAGCCTCTTTTCCCATCTTGTCTAACCTAGACCCAGTAAGAGGGAAAACAAAAAAAGTTTGGTGGGAATTATGAAGACTATGAGTAGAAGAACCATATGAAGTAACTCACGACACTGTAGTAACCGTTTGTTGTATAAAGCAAAGAACTCTTTAAACCATTCAGAGCTAAACTCTGAATAAACCAAGGGGCAGGGCCCTGGTGTCTTTTTTTCAGGTCACCTCTGTCCTCCCAATTTTTCACTGATTTGATCTAAAGGCATGCCTTGTTCTGCCATCTGCCATCATCATACATGATGGCCAAATCTGCCATCATCATACATGAGTGGCTCTCAAATCAGAAATTCAGTCTAAGAAATGAAAATGGTCAATTTGGTAGTTTTTCTTTAGTGTTTATCCAAAAGGTACAATGCTCTACAGTGTCAGAGAGAAAATCAAGGGAAAAAAAACCACTTACTGACCTTGGAATCTGCTAACACGAACTCTAGTACTAGATCTGCTACTCTCTCATTTTAGATAAGTCACCTGACTTCTCTGAGTCTCAATGTCATCATGTATAATATGGAATTAATATAAAGGTGGCTCCAATAAAACCCTCCCATAGAACTGTTGCTTTGATGAGAAAAATAAGAAGTTCTCATCTTAATCATCATCAGAGCCACTGCTATTTGGGAGTATTTTCCTTACCCATTGTTCCAGAGCCTTACTAATAGCTCAGTCTGAAGACATTTTACTCTAGAAATAATCAACTATTAGCAATTAGATAAACAAATTCATAGTCAAAGGGGCTCTGACTTCTTGGTGTTTTCTCTCTAAAATAAGGCTGATTAGATTTATAGTGGGTTTCAAAAGATTAAATACAAGGAACCGGGAGTAGTTATTCAGTCATGGAACTCTAGGGAGAGAAATCTCCCCTGAGGACTACAAAAATTCTCACTCACAAGTAGGGAATCTGTGATTAAAGTGTTTGTGGAGATGCAGCTCTGCTTGTTGAGAGATACCATTCGTGCATTTGCATTACTTGAATTAATTCTCTTCAATAATGCACAGTTCAAGACACTGCATTGCCTCCAGGGAGGCAATTAGATATAAACATTGGAAGATACAAACACAGGATCTGTCACTAAACAAACCAGTTGGACTCCAGAAATCACTGCTTCGCTTAATCAGGCTTAAATTTTTGCATCATTGAGAAGTAGTATCCATCCATTCAACTGTTTATCTCAGTGACTTTCAACCACAATATTGGGCCCTGGATGTAGAGATCCATGCAAAACAAACATGTTATTGTAGTCATGGTGCTTGAGTCTAAGAAACTTCTCTCTTATATAAACTAATAAAAACACGGAGTATAAATTTATACAGATTAAAAACTGATATATATATATACACATACATGTTGTTGTTGTTATGTGCTATGGAGTCAGTTCTGACTCATAGTGACCCTGTACAGGGTTTCCAAGGCTATAATCTTTACAGGAGCAGAAAGCCTCATCTTTCTCCCGCGGAACAGCTGGTAGTTTCTAACTGCTACTCCTGAGGTTCGCAGTGCGATTCATAACCACTACGCTACCAGAGCTCCTTTCAGTTAGGCTTAGAGAATGACAAAGATCTAGGGTGAGAAATATTGTTCCAAGCAAACGTGTAATAAAGGTCCTGAGTTTCAAAGAATTCAACAAATCTAAGAGTAGCCAGTATGACTCCAGCATAGTTAGCAAGACCTTCTCCTTGTAGTTTCCATTTTAGCATCCATCAGGAACAAAAAGAAAACAAACAAAACACTCACTCCACATACCAAAACTGTTATCTGGACTATTGGTTTAGACCATAAAATCAGAATAGCAAGTTATAAAGATAGCACAAATCTTGCCTGGAGTTATGGCCATTGGAATTCACAATTAGCTTTCGAAAGACCTTTTGTTTCCCCAAGTTTGGTAACGGGTGTCATTGGGGTAACTGTTTCTTAAGGTGTATCTATCACACCCAAATGAAATTACTTACAACCTCTTGATTTTAAAGACCATCAAGTTGGTTCCAAAGCATGGTGATCCTATGTAAAACAGATGGAAACATTGCTGTCTGCCCCATCCACAATTGTTTTATTTGAGACTATTGGATCGGACAGTGTTTTGTTCTACTGTGCATATGGTCGCTATGAGTCGATACCGACTTGACAGCACCTAACAACAGCATTGTTCAGCCACTGC